AGAACACTATTAAAAATGTACTTGTTATTAGAATTCAAATAGTATCAACTAATGTCAATTGGAAAGAAATATGTGTCTTAGTATTAACTGAAAAAAACCCCAAATGTTAGCAATTCAATTCTTTGCTAACTGAAATTGTGTTAACTTTTCTTATTCTTCTCTCTTATTGAGGATGGATTTCAGCCAGGGGGATAGGAGCAATGATACCAGAGGCAAGAAATTGTGGTAGTTTTGGATAGGAGGTGAGGGGGTCTACAACCAGTCTACTGGCTGACTGCTCCTGGCTTCACAGACCCCTCCAGAGAAGTGACGCTCTGGTTTCTAGATTTTTTTTTTGACTGTGTAGTTCATTTTGAGAATCTGGAAGGTGATTTGACAAGCACTGGGAGATCGAGGTATGGCACAATAAGCATACCAGTGGAGAATGAGTGTGCAAATTAATGTTGGAAAATTTATTCTGCCAGAGCCTATGAACTCTCTCTTTTGCCGATATGGTCATCAGCTTTGAATCTTACAATAGCTAAAAACTCTAGTCTAGACCTAAAGACAGTAGAATCCCCGTTTTTCCTTCCTCTCTGTTTCATTAGCAAGATCTGGTGAATTTCAGCTCTCCTGCCACTGCAGAGCCCTATAGAGTACAGAAGCAGCACCTCAATTAAATATGAAATACCAAGATAAATGTCTGAATAAAATATCCAGGACTCAGACAAACTTCCAAAACCTGCTTGTCAGCAGTGAAATGCCATTAAATCCTCCAGGAACTCATTAATAGATTAACATTTGGAAGAGTAATTACAGCTAGATTAGAACTGAGCATAAAGAAAAATAAAGGAAGATCCAGCAGCATAATTTCTCTAAACTCTTGACACAAAGCAAAGATCGATACTGTGAAAAAAAAATCAGAGGTAAGGAATTAAGGTCAAGATGATTATGTCAAAAATAGGTAAGCTGTTCATATATATTTCAAATAAAACTAGTGTGGATGCAACTGTTATGTAGTGTTTCATATTATTTGTGTGGAATACTACCTCACAGGGGATAGAAAAGGGATATTGAGGTGAAATCAAGGATGTATCTGGAAATTGGATGAGTTGATGACTTCAGTGCCGTTAACTTAAATCACAACTAAAATTAACAGTGTCAAGCTTTGTAGCTACATTTTCTGAGCCGAAGCAAGACACTCATCTTTAGTGAGACAAATATATTACCCTTCAAAAGGATTAAATACTGCAAAAGTCTTTTTTGAGAATTTATGTTACTGCTCTGTAAAGGAAAGAGAAAAGATAAGATAAAGTAGGTACTATAGTTAGATAAATAAGTGAGATCTTGAGAAATGTTTTCATTTTTCATAAAATTTTCACAATCTGTAAATTTTGTATATATAATTCATTACATTATAACCTGGAATATGAATCTTGCAAATTTATGAATAGGAAGAAATACAAATGGAGAAAATACTACTTTATTTAGAAATGCTTCTCTGTTACTGTGAGTATACCTGCTGTAGAACCAGGCTGCACAACAGTGTGTCAGTGGGAACTGAGCTATTTTCAAGAGGAAGAAAAAAATAAAATAAATGAAAAGTAACAAGGTTGTAAAATACATAGATGAAAAATAAAATGAAGTCATCAACATGTAAAAAAAAGTTAAGATTTTAGATTTGCAATTTCCCTATTTAAATGCCCTCATTGATTTGTTACAAATACTGTTAACCCTGTGTTTGGAAAATGGTGAGGACATTATCACTTGTGTTCTCATTTGTAATAAAATAGATTAACTTGCTGTGAAATTTTAACTAGGCTGAGACACAACAGTAGCTACCTAATGAACCAGAGCACATTGCTGTTAAGTAGCTAAATAGATGCATACTGATTACAGGACTGAAAAATGGATCTGTTTACTTGCAAAAAAAGAGTCTGTTCATAGTGTTGTTCATGACAGTAGGAACAGTAGGATGGTAGAAATTCAGCATCACATTTCCACACAAACATTTAGGAATAGACAATTTCTCGATCCTTATGGAATCTTACATGATGGTACTTTATCCTCATTTGTAGTACATATGATACAGAGAAAATTTCAGCTCCTTTGTTGCTTATAGGGAGAACTGTATATTCACTGTGAATGTAAATTTTTGTAACTGATAAGACATTAGATGACATAATCAACTAATTCTCTTAGAAAGTGATTCACTATGTGATTAAGAATGACATTATTATTTGACATTTTTATTTCTGCCTGAACATTTCAAAGCAAGTCCCTGAGTTTGAAGGCAAATTACTTGAAGCAGAGATTATTTTATAGCAAGAGACAGTGGGAAATGCAGTTACCAGAAGGAGCTTGAATACTTTGCTTTTCCAAATCATCAGCTTTTGAATTACTCAAATAACTCCTATTTAAGATGACATATATGGTTGTTTGTGTGATATATAAGTGTTAATTCATAGTCATATTTGTTCATAGTTGGTTTTTTTTTGGCAGAACAGTTGGCATGTCCTCTCCTTGGCTATTCATCTTCATGGTTGCAATAGACAATGAAATTTACGTCAACCATGTACTGTTCTGTAAAATTAATCATTTCACAGTGATATCTTAATTGTAAATTGGGTACTCTTTGTGTAAAAAGAGAGGAAATAGTGCCAATGAGAACTGTTAAAACTGAAAATCCAGGCAAATAAAATTAGTCAGAGTTGTAGCCTGTTAGCAGTAACCTATTTGGAAGCTATTATTTACATGAAGGTAAAAGACACATAGTATTTATAAGCTCAGGATTGCGGGTATATGATTCATCACTTACTTAGGAGAATACTTCTTGGAATGAAAATGTGACTTTTAAAAGCAACTTAATAAGCAGCCTATCCACAGAGTAAGTCCTGACTCTCTTTTACTCTTCCACTCATCTCAGCAGCCTCTAAAACCACTCTTTTAGAGGCCAAGAAGAAGAAAACACAGGAGACTTCAAGATCAGTGACTTTGACTTTTTTTCTGTGAAAATTTGTTTGTTTAAAACCATTCAGTTTTCAAAATTTTAAGAACTTGTGACTCAACATAATAGAGTCATATCTGTTAAAACTTAATAAACTTTTTAAATTAGCATTCAAAAATACTGCGATTAAAAATATCCCTTTAAGATTTGTTAGTTATTGTATGTTCATTAAATAACAGATAATTAGTGAAAACAGATCCGTTGAGGATTAACAGCTATGTCAGATACACATCTGTTACCTGATTTTGAGGCTCAGTTGTTATTTAATGTACAATAACTATCCTATTAAAAACACATTCAATGCTATGTTTTCATGTGATTGGAATAGGCAAATGCCACCTCTTGATATTAGGAAGATCCGATCTCACATTCCCTTTGCATCATTCTCAAATGTATCTATAAATATGAAGATGAGTGTGGTTTAGAGAGGTGGTTTTAATGGCTAACAGAATATTCTTAAAATGTTGATCTTACTGCCAGTGTTATTAATGAATTGCCTCAGTAGGTTATGAATGGAAGCTATTATGCTAGCTATTTATAATGGAACAACTATTAGAATCTACTGTTCTCTTCCTAAAGCTATATTATTGATTTAGGATACTGTCTAGCAAAAACTGCATAAAAAGTTCAGATGCTTTTGAGTTTAGTTTCAGAAGCACATGGTAAATTGCCACCAAGTAGCCAGATTGCATACTCCTAATGCAAAATCTTTGAGAATAGGTTAGAAAGGCAGAAAAATTGCAAAGTTGCTTTGAGACAACCTCCCCAGATTACACTGTAATTGTGATTTTCAGTGAGTTGGAGGCAAAAGGATCTCCCTTTTTAAAAATAGAAAGTAATATTTCAGTTCTGAGTTTCCACAGGGAACAGCTGATTGCAGGGGTGAGGGCAGCTCCAAAGATGCAATTTCTGGAATGCTGTAGATTCAAGCATCTCCTCGTTAGTGTCTCTCACTTGGAACTACATCTTCAAGGACTTGTAACAGAGGATTTGAAACATAGAAGGAATTTTAAGTTAAGAATATCTGGAGTATCTCAGACCATGATCTGCCCCTTTTAGAAGATACTAATTTTTTGTTGGTCCTGGGAACAGGAATGAAGGGTACTGGAATTTTTAAGTAATTCAGAAAAATTATACATTTGGAAGTACTGGGTTGGAAGGGATCTCAAGTGGTCATATAATGTCTTACCTTTCTCAAGACAGGACGAATTATTACTTATGCCACGCTTGTCTAACCTGTTCCTGAAGATTTTTATTAATGAGAATTCCATGGCATGTTCAGGCAATCTGCAAGTACAGATACACAAAACTGTAGAATTTCATTTTGCTAAATTTTTATAATTTCTTATCCTTTTTTTCTCCTTATCTAAAATACTATGTATATACTTAAATTAGAGGTTAATATCAAAGTTTCATGTGCAAATGTACACATAAGAATTTGCAAGCACAGGCTTATTTTTGTTAGCCAGTGATGCTCTTCATGCAAAAGTGAAGGTCTTACCAGTACCACAGCTTTTAAAATTTATCTGGGTGCTACTGTGAGAAGATATTGATGTAATTTATTCAGGTACGAATTCTAGACAGTTTACAAATTTGGCTGCATTTAGAGCCAACTTAGTCCAAATCCAAATTGTTTATTTGAAATGTGACTCATATATGTCAATTTTATTATCTGTAGATTAGAAGTAGCTTGTGAAAACAACATGAAAGAAAGTTCTTATGTTTCTGTGTGTGAAAAAGTTAGAAAATAGAAAGTTACCAAAAAAAAAAAAGGTGGCAAATGCTATGTTGTGACACAAAGGATGAAAAGCTATGCCCAAATGCAATGCATGTAGAAGGCTATACTCTTTTAGGCTATAGATAACTATACTACTCTTTCAATGTGAGTTCTGTTTGCTATTTATTTTGGAAAGACCATTTGTTATTGCTATTTTAGCCAACTTCATTTTTTCATTGAACTTTAGTGAAGTTCATGAATCAAATTGCACAGACCTTGTTTTATTTCTGTTTCAAGGAAAGGATTCAAGACAGCCCTTCTCCAGCTCCTTCTCTGGAAGACAGTCAGCGGCCTGGGAGCCACGCTTCCTCCCATCAGAGCAGCAGCGTGTCCAGCTCGCCGTCCCAGTTGGACAACACACCAGACAGAATTGGTTAGTACTCTGCAACCTCACACGTCTTCACAGTTACTGACCTCAAGAATTTTAGAAGTTTGTTGAGGCAAATATTTCTTCGCTAGGAGACTCAAGAAAGCACTCACCTGCTAAAAAAGAACCCCAGAAAATTCATCGCTATAGTTTGTTTTATTAGGTTCATCCCTATGCAGAGCCCAGCCCCTCAGATTTATTCTGTGCCAGTATCCACCCATGCACAGAAGATACCACCCATTCCCTGGTATGACCACCTTCTCTTGCATGCTAAAGTAAGAAAATGCCTGTGAAGGCACCTAGAGTTGAAAAATAGCAAGATATCTTTTTCTTTGTATGTATGTCAGAAAAGTCACAGATTATATGATGGCTTTTCTGTTCTAAAAACCTCCTCATGCCCACACATTCCCTCATCCCCACGAGACTGAGGGCTTTCTGATTTTTTTGGTCTCTCCACCACAGCTTTCACAGCCTGTGCTTTATCGATCTTGTGTTTAAAATGCTAATTCAGTCTAGAGGAAGTTTAGATCCTATTCTTGGTGCTTCCAAGAGGGATCTAGGGCAAGTCAATTAACATCTCTTCACGTCAGTGTATGTCAACACTGTTGTCTTCACAGTGACTGGAGCCTATGCAGGCATTGCTGAGCTAGATTCAAACTACGAAAACAGTGCAGTCCATGTAAGTCAGGGTAGACTTCACTGCCATCGAATAACTACTCAGCTGCTTACTGGGATTTTGCAGTTTTGACTCTGGTCCATGCGGCAGCACCATGGCACTACATAGCACAGTTGGCTCTACACAAACTAGTCAGTAGAACCTGAACTACTTTGACTAAACATGTGCACACACAGGGCAGAGACTAGAAAGTAGATTCTCCTCAGTTTATTCATATGTAAAATAGGGCTAGAAATATACAAGACAGGAAATGTAGCTTCCTATTTTAGTGAGAAAGAGACTTTTGTCCTCACTGGGGCTTTTGAAAGCTACTGTAAGTCTATTAATAGTAGTTGCACACACTGCAAGCCTCTGGGCTCCAGAATTGGTGCTGAATGTTTTTTAAAGAAAACTAGGTTTTATTTATGTTGAACCAACCATTTCTCTGTGTTGAAGTCTAATGCTTACTGTTGTAAAGGTATTTACATATACGTTGTATCTATATAAATATATACATATTTTTACTTTAGCAATTTCAAAAAAAAAAAAGAAAAGCTTTCCGTAAAATGTGGTGATGAAGTTTTTAACAAATGCCCTCACTGGAATAACTTTAAATTCTGTAATTGGTTAATTGCAGAGAGGGCAATGTTTTAATCAAATAAGAACAAAGAAAATATGCATCGTGAAATCATAAACTTAACACCTCTCACTGATCTTGGAGGCGTTAAGTAAAGAATTTCTTTCAGCAGTACAGTGTATTGTTTTTTTGCTGTCGTCTGTCAATTTGTGTTACTATCTGTCAATCTGTATTTGTTAAGCTTGCTGCTTTATAGATAACTAATACTTAAATGTATTTTTTCTCAAAATTATTTCTGTGAAGTACTTTTCTAATTAGTTAATTTGAACGTTTCATAAGAAAGCACATTCATCTCAGTAGTCATTTGGGTTCTATCTTGGTATCTTTGTTTAATCAACTTGGAGCAAATTTGCTTTTGCTGCGTATTTTACTTGGCTTTAAGTGCTGAACTGGGACAGTGAAATGGTTGATTATAGACAACAAAAATGGTCAATTGCTTTAGAACTTATATGGTATAAATAAATGTTAAAATACCAAAATATTGACAAAGAAGAAATATTTAATATTTTTCTCTCTTCTGACATTTTTTACTGCAGTGTTATATAGCTGTGCACTCATGATTTTCGTTTGTTTTTTTTTTTTTTAGCTTTGCTGACCAACAGCAGGGAAGGAGAACTCATTGATCAAGAAACTGGGACCAGCCTAAAAAAAATACAAAAGGAGAAAGGTAAAATTACAGACTTGTTTTCTGTCTCAGGCATTTAATTACACTTATTATGTGGGTTATTCCTTTTTTTATTATTCTGTATGTGCAATGGCATAATGTTATAAATTTGAGAGCTAAATGCCTAATTGCAATGAATAATGTATCCATTGAATTTACGCGGCGTTCTTCTTAGGAAATGTAAACAATCAGATCTTTGCTTCTCTCTGTTTATATAGTATGGGGCTAATGTTTTACCGGTCTTTTGCCTCAATTATTTATGAAGTTTCTAGCAAATATTTGATTAGTCACATGGTATTGTTTCTTTGCCTCCAGGGGAAGTGTGTGCAGACTACTTTAATGCTGATATGTAGGTGAGGGAAATTTTTTGTGTCTAGTAATATTACGTTACCTCACAAGTGACAGGCAGGAAGGGAAGAAGTGATGTTTGGCCTGTAGTGCTTGTCCTGTAGGCAGAGAAGTGCCTCCTCTGCTCGGTTCTCCCTGCAGTGATTGTTGGGTACTGGAGAAAGTGAATACGTTGATGTATGCAGGTGAGTTCCAGGGAGGTGTTTTAGTGACAGAAAGCCTGTGGCATCTGGAGCTGCACATCGAGGAAGAAGAAACCATTTTGTTTCCATGCAAATATAACAAAAAAATAAATCATATTAGTAGGCAAGAAGTTTATTCTGGCAGTACGTACAGAAAGCACCATACAAAATGAGTGCCTGCAAAAAAAAGAAGATGGGGTATTGTTAAAGAAATAAAAGAAAACTGAAGGTAGGTGAATACTGGAAAAATACTGCAAAGGCATATACTGAGGGAGATATTAAGGTTTCAGAATGAAAAAGATGTGAAGGAAAAGAAAGAGAAGGAAGTGACCAAAAGAGGAGATAACATAAGCTAGATATACTTATAAGTCTACTGTAAATATGAACATTTTGTCATAAATGAAAACACAAACTGATTTATATTTTGATTGAGGTGATTTTAATGTATTTTCTGAAAAAACTAAAAAGACAGATATGGACAATTTCATGAGCTACGCAGGAGAGAATTTTGGGGCTCCGTGTACCCTGTGGTTCCAGAGTTACATACAGTTATTTGAGCAGATTCATAATTTTGTTTGATCAGCTCTGTTACGTAGACATCTGTGACTGTTCCAGTCATGGGTAGGAAGAGCCTGAAACTTCCTCCTTATATTTTGTATTTTCATCCTCAACTCTCTCTGTTCTTGAAAGCAGAAGAAGCTGTTTTCTATTCACTGATTTCTCTAGACATTTAAGCACTTCCCTTGTGAACCCCAAAAGAGCCCTTTTGTGCCATTCTGAGATAATTTTCTGTCTGGATCATTGTACTTAAATCCTTCAGTCTTGACTGCTGTTGGCATTTATGGACCAACACCAGAGGCTGAACAGTTATCAACCCATACCTTCATTCCTAAGACTGTAGTAATTACATAGGTGAGTATTTCATCTAAATCTGAAAGTGTAGTTGATTGTAATTTTGTTGAACTGTGCATGGTTTCTTGCCACATGTTTGGTCATTTTTTTCAGCAAAACAATTCACTATCCTATGAAGTTCAAGGATGCAAATCATGTAGTTATTGGTAGTAGCAGTCCTGTCACTTAGGATCAGTGAAGGAAGGTACAGTTTAAGAATCAGAAAAGACAATTCAGAAATCCCAAAAAATGTGAAAATAATATAAACCCCACCACCTGTGAACTCAATCCCCAGGCTCCTGTGGTCATTGAATGTTTCTTGTAACGTGTACAAAATCACAAAGATCTGATGCTAACATTTTGTGCACCATAATTCACCTTAAGATTAAAGTTGTATAGGTTTATTCATTTTCTGGTCTACGTTTTTGCATAGTATTATCTTCCTTTAATTGATCATGTACTGGGAAATACATCTTTATACATGTGTTACTTCTGCATGCACTTAGAGGATTTTTTTAGGATGAGCTTAGTATTCAGAGATGCACCTGCATCAGAAAAAAAGGACTTCAAAATCATAAGACATTTTAAATCATAATTTTAAGGATAGAATAAAGTTTCTGTTTTTTCTACTTGGTCTGCACGGGTCAAGTTTTTCACTGAAAACCTGAGAACAAGACATTATTTCTTTTTGTTAAGTAAAGATGTAATTTTCAAGTAACCCAACAGCTCCAGAACCAAAAGCTTTTGACAACATTGTAGTGGGGCAAATGCTGAAATTTTAAGGACACCAACGTTGTACATGCAACAATTCTGCTTTTGGCAGTGTGAAAGACCTTTATTATAGTTCCTGTAGGAATCTCTGTTTTATAGGATACAAGCACCCAATAATTGTTGGACTGCACCAGTAGGACGAAGTCAATACTCTGCTTCTGAAAATCCCCAGCCAGTGTGTGCTGGGCCTTTCTGTCACCCTATACAAGTGGTGTTATTCCTCAATGAATTGTCTCACTCTGGTATAGATTCTTTGTTCCTAATACTACTATTATTCTCTCGTGTATAATTGTTTTAGGCTCTGATGCACCTCAAATACGTTGATTGTTTTTCACAGTCAAGATGTGGACAGTCAGTCAAGAGTGTGATCTGTGCTGAGTTGCTCAGCAAAAAATGTACATGTAATTTGTATACAGAACAAGCTTTGTTTTTCAAAACCTGCCATTACTTTTACTAAGGCAAAATATATTTACCATGGAAAAGATTTTCAAAGTTATTAAGAAGGAATGTAGTTAAAATAAAAGTATCAACATTTATTAAGTATGACAAGTAAGCGGTTTATACAACCGTGGCAAACATATGTTTTCACATCTGTTTTGAGTAATATCATCATGATTTTAAAAATGATTTATAGCTCTGCAGGCCATAAAATGCCAGCTTTGCTGTAAGTTGGAAGTTTTCAAACAACAAAGAAATTATTGAAGGCATATATCGAACATGTTTTTGTGTTATACACCTTGATATAACTTCACAAATCTGAGCACTCTGTAACAATTAAGATAGCAACAAGTGAAAATGAAGTAACTAAAATTTAGCAGTAGTGCTACTTATGTGAAATCTTAGCGTAAAAAACAATAAAAGTTATTGTAATGTTTATAGGCAAATACTGTGACATCCCTCAGGATACAGAGGTTTTGTTTTCCATGTCCCATTTTAAGTGATCTCAGCACCAGACAAAAATGTGCCACTTTGTTCTCATCAAAGTAACTTCAAGGTAGTTAGGGCTGAAGGGAATATGGCTTAGCAGTTTTTCTTTAAAAGATAGTTAATATGAGGTGGTTGCAATTATGTTCAGCTGTTTGCAGGTTTTGGTGGGGCAGAATTTACAGAATTAGTGGCTGTCTCAGTGCAGAGGGGTTAAAGCCCAGTTACTGACCATACCTTTAAAGTTTTTTTCTTTTCTTTTTTTTTTCCTTTTAAGGTATTTTAAAATTTTTAAATCTCAATTACTCTGCATCCTTTCATCGTCTTTTTAGGAAGTCTGGTTAGGCTTAACAGTAGAGGACAACAAAGTCAGACATCTTTATAAGTCTGCAGTTGTTCTTTTTGTACAAAATACATTATTGTACTTTTGTCAAATGTCTTTAGCCATTATGGTGCACAAGCATTTTGCCTGTGCATCCATGTCAGAGTGTGAGTGAAAACCATATGAAGAGTCATCTGGTACTTTATTTTGAAATTGCTAGTGAAAGGAAACAGAATTAGAAAATCCCCCACAGAACATAGCCCCAAATGTTTACAGAAACCTGAGCACAAATTGTTCCTGATTGTGCTTACTTGCTATGTCTGATTTTAAGCAGTTACATTTTACCTGCACCATTGCTCACAGAAACTAAATTCTGGATTCATTTGCCTCAGTATGTATCTTGGAAAAAAATCTCTATTGTGTGGGAAAGGATTGTGTTTGACACAGCTCTGTATAGGCTTTATAGAAACCGCCATATGAATTCTGGCATTAGGAAGGTTAAACGAGCCAGAAAAGAATTTGGCCATGCCTTCCAGTTGGATTTAAATGCCAGTACAATTATTCTGTTTGACTGCATGACAAGAAATATTTCAAACTCCTCATACAGGATGGGGTAGTAAAAGGCACTGGCCCAACTCTTGCCACAGGGAAATCAATGGGAATGTTCATGATGTCTTCAGTGGGAACAGAGTTTGGCCAAAGCCTGATATTTTGGAAGATTGCTCCCCCAGCTAAGACTCCTGGCTATTTTTCCAGACAGGAATGGTACATGCTCCCAGACTGTACAAGTGCTGTTCCCGCTGGACCATGCCCTGAGCTCTCTGCTCTGACTTCAGCAGGCGGCAAGCAGGACCTGTGGGCCCCGGAGGACCATGATGTGCTTTGACCGGGTGTTCACAGGGGTGTTTGGGGCGCTGGAGCTGCACTCCGCCCAAGGTGAACCAGAGTAAAATTTCGGAGGAAAATTTCATAAATGACTGGTATCTTCAGACTTAACCATTGTTCACGCAGTCTTTGAGTAGAAATAAAGATTGTATTTGTTAAGTGATTTGCTCTGAATTTCCCAGAGCTGCTCAGTGGTGATGCTGCTGTCCTTTAGCCCAGTTGTGTGCATCTTCAGGGCACAAATCTGGACTCAAGGGCTATGTCTCATGTTTTTGGTAGACGGCAGTCTCCAAAACTGTGCATCTGGCAGCTATCCCTTTTCATTTTATTAAAGAACACCTTTCCCTTTATTACTTCAAGGAAATGGGAATTTTGCATCATTTCTGTCAGCTGAGTGAAATATTTTCAGATGGCCAGAGTCTATGGTAATGAAAGACTAACTATATTTATTTATTGTATTTCATTAGCGGAAAAGAGGTTTTATGCTGTTTAAATTAATCATTGCCAAAGGACTGGGTTACTCAAAATGTGAGGGGAGGAGAACAAGCAGGTGCAGAACACCTGAAAAAGCAACAGGCCCCGGTGGTGGGGGGTGTCCTCCAGAGAGCGGACTTTTCCAACAATTAATCTGAAAGCATCCAGATGGAGAATGCAAGGAATAAGAAAGAGAACTAAGA